GTACAGTTTCCACTTTCTCCACCTCTTTGACAGCCTTTATACTTTTTGTTTGTTGATTTCAGTGGTAGCCACCCTCATGTGTACAAAGTTTAAAACTCAGCTCCTGAGTCAGCTTGTAAAAGAGGTCACTGATACCCTAGGTTTGCCTTTCCTTGTATGAGAGACCCTTGAGACCATATGTGTTTTTGGAATTCAGAATTTTCAGGTTTTAGAGACTTACTACTGTGAATATGCTCTATATTATGTAATATTTTCAGTAGGATGTAGATGCATAGCCCAGAATCAAACATAATATTTCTGCAGGAAAATGCATTAATATCTCAAAACTGGGATAAATAAGAACTATAATTGGCCTCCTTTCAGAGTTGCTAACAATATATTGCAGGAACAACTGTGGAGATTTTCAAATCTGAGAATTGCACATAAGGAATTCTGGTCATATATTAGCACTACATTTTCTTAAATTAGGAAAGCTCCGTAAAATGTGAAGGAGGATGAAGGTGTGGCTTTGAACAAGAAACTGTTGCAGAGCCAGGTGTTAAATGGAGGTCACTTGAGGCAACAAAAAGGGTTCAAACTACTTTCTCCCCAATCTTCCAATCACACCTTGAGGCGGGAGCAGCTGAAGTCTGGGTACCTGAAAAGCAACCCAGGCCAGCACCTGGATACCCCATTCCATTCCTCCCAACCTCAGCTCCCTCTCAAACTCACAGTGAACCTACTGGGCACCTCTAAGCCACCCTTCCTTCCTCCTTCCTTTCTTCCTTTCTCTCTTCTCACCTCTCAGGCTGTGTTAGCTTGCAGTTCTCAATCCTGAGGGTGAGTTTCCCTTTCCTCAGGTATAGCTCCTTACATCAGAACAATTACCAGCCTGAAAGTGCTGGTGAGAAATACTACATACTAAGCCACACCTCTCCTCCCATCAAACACATTCAGATATCCACAGACTTTCTGGACTCTCCAGCAGAGCTGTAAGAAGTGATTCCAGTGTGAGAGTACAGTGGTCGGCTAGTGGGAAACTTGCAGGGGCAAGCATATTTAATGCCTCTCAGGTGACAGAGCTGTCACCTCACCAGTGAGGGTCAGGCACAAAGCCTGCAGCTACCCACAAGGTTGTCATTCCCCCTGCCACAGTCTTGTGGGATGCCTTTACCCTAATTGGCTATTATGTTCAGATATAATCAAGGACACTACATCAACAATATGAAATTAAATGTGAAGGCAAATAATCCTGCAAATCCGCTGCAGGTTGAATTTCTATCATGTCCTACAGACAGAAACCAGCCAAAGTGAGGAGGCTATGTGTGGCTGTCCTCAGTTGCCACCTGCTTGCCACATATCCTGAAGCTTTGGCAGACCATGACACTCCTGGTTGTCCTTGCTTGTGGGTTCTCCCTCTTCCAAGCGCACATACAGCCAACACAGGAGCTGAGCTCCCTGTGCCAGGGTTCTCCTGAGATGTCTCCCAGAGCTGTAATAGTGCAAAAAACACTGTGCTGTCCCTTGTTCAAGAGCTGTCCAGAAACTATAGCAGGAGGAGCCTTGTGGCCTCAATGATAAGTCTGTTCTTGCAGAATATGGGCTTCCTGTTAGAAGACTAAGCATGAATGGACTTATGAGACCTTGGTGCAGAACTGAACTTTCACAACTGGACTTGCCGGCTGCTCAATGAAGCATCCATGGGTTCAGCCTCTGGAGTAGACTCAGGATGGCCAAATGACCATTTTGTTTTCAATTATGTTAGGTTTAAATTTCCCCATTGTCTCTAAGGTGACCCTTTAAACACAGGGAAAGGAAAAAATGTTCGGAAAGGGAGGGATGCATTCATACCTGTTTTTATGGTAAGAGGCAGAGCATCGGCAGGGGCTGGGAGAGCTGGGTTTACTTGGCAGTCCCTTATTGTCCCTAGATGCTCAGATTCCTAGAGAAGCATTCCCAAGCAAGCTACTGCAGCCAGCTGCTGGTAAATGAGGCTCAGCGAGCTGAGAAGATGCACAGCATTAGAGGGAGACACGGTCCGGATTCAGTAAGACTCAGTCCAGAACGTGGAGGTGCAACAAAGCACTGGGCTTGCCCCTGCAGCCCTCTGAGCTCATGCTGGCTGCAGGTGCCTGCACTTGCCAGTTACTCCAATGGCATCGTCATTCTGCAGAGGTCTTGGAGCCTGGCACATACAACTGCATGTCACTAAGGGTCAACCCAGTGCCGTATGTGAGAGGTTACGTCAAGAAAATCCAACAAGAATTTATTTATATACCACATATATTCACAGGCATAAGTTCTGCTTTGCTGCAAAACCAAAGAGCTATGGGTGGGTGGCATTTTAAAATTTCTACCAAGACATTTTTTAGGAGCAATAATATTTGAAGCTTTCATGGAAAAGAATTTACAATGCACTCCATGTGGTTTATTTTTCATTATTTAGTGAACATTGTGAAGTCAATTTTGTTCAAGATATGGATGAAAACAGAGCTTATTCAGGGGGCCTCTGATTTAAAAAGGATAAACCAATTCACACACAAATACATCATGCATATGATTCAACACCTTGAAAACAGCTTAAGTATCAAAGCTTTTCTGTGTGGCTCTTCTTTTAGAGATTGATGGACAGAGACTCCTGGGGTTCATTTTTTGATTGTCTCTTCTTCCAATGCATACATTGAAATTTCTAAAGTAAAAAGATTATCAACCAGAAAAGAGTGCTGAGTGGCACCCAGCAGGCGCATGGCTTGGTAACCACAGAATGAAGACTAGATTTCAGTGCCAATGCATTCCATCAGCTCAGAGAGTGACTTTGCGCAGTGCGCATAATGCCCAACTGAACCTGGCAGCACTACAACAGGGTCGGTAGACCCCTGAAAGCTGAAATCATTACGTTTTACAAACATATACTAAAAAAATTAAAATTAAAAAATAAAAGTATCTAGGTCCTTATGGCTTTGGGGGCCTTAAATGGGAAAAGTGTATTGTGAAAAAAATCAAGACAAAATCTGCTGGGACAGTGTGCTGATTTTTTTTAAAAGTGCCTCTTTTTTTTTTTTAATGCCGCAATCAACACAGACTTCTGCCACTAGATGTGTAGAGATTCCTCCCCACCAGCAAGCAAGTAGACACCAGCAGGGTGTCCTCTTCTCTGCGCAGTTCTAACACTATCTAACACTATCTGCAGGACCTGCCAGGGGTTCCTCCATCCCGCAGATCCTGAACCCTATCCTGTGGGTGTTTCAAGGTGGCTTTGTTGCATAGTGATGATTACTAATACATAGAGTGGGGAACCTAGTGAAGCCTGTCTACTTCAGCCTCCCTCCTGGTGCAGGGCCAGACCCCTCTGAAATGAGGAAAGGCCACGGTAGGACAAAGGGGTCCGAGACTTTCCTTATATCCAGCTCCAAGACAAAGGTGGAGAGGAAGATTAGCGTTTCTCTAACAGCCTTGGAGAAGAGAAATTCTAGTTTCTGCTGCCTTGCGGGGGCGGGGTATGAGCCAGGATACAGGGATGAAGACCCAATGCCGGTTTCACAGTATGGCCACACAGATAAGCACAGTGGAGCAGATTCTGTAGGAAAAAGAGGGTCCCTCAGAGGGTGTATTGCAGCATAAGAAAGTGGAGCTGGAGAGAGACGTGCTTGCAAGCCTGAGCTGTGATGTGTGAACTGTAGTTGAGCCACCCAGCAAAAGGGGTGGCGGTGTGGCACATGGGCTTTGGAGTCAGCCTGTGTTTAGATCCTGGTGTTGCCATCTGTCAGCCAGCACGTTTGCTTATCTTCACAAAGCCTCCAGCTTCTATTTCTCAAAACAGGAGCACACTCCTACCTATCTCCAAATGTGCTGACACAGATTGAATTTTAAAATGCATGTGATGTGTTCAGCCCGGGGCCTGACTTTCAGTGAGTGCTCAGTGGACATCAGCTACTGTCTCGGAGCCTTTAAACAGAAGAATGACAGGACAGAGTGGCAGAGTAATCGGACTGCACCCGCAGGCTGTGCAGGGAAGGACAGAAGGAGCAAGGAAGTCAGAGCCAGGCCACCGGAGCCGGCTGCCCTTCAGGGAAGGACCAAGGAAATGGGAAGAAAAAACAAGTGTGAGAAGCTTCCTGACACACAGAGTTAGTGAGCTGGAAAATTAGCGGGTGTGTGAGTGAGGAGTCGGGGGGCTCTGAAGGTGTCTGCGAGGGCTTTAGCTCCACTGGTGTGAACACACCTAGGCGTTAGGAGTTGATGTCGGAGGGCTGACAATTTTAACATTTTGGTACAAGCGAAAGAAAGAGTAGGCTCAGCACCATTAGATGCTACCCTTCTGTGTTATCAGATATTGATAAATCTGCCAAGTTAGACCCACGATTCTGTTACAAAATAAAACCCATAATAGACATCTCAAACATGCCAGCAGTCACTGGCTACTCCTAGAATGTCCCGCAGATAAAAGATACAGATTATGAATGCTGGACAGATAGACCAATAGATAGGCGCTATACACACCTATGGTACATGCACCAACATAGAGATAAATGTGTGGATACATAAACAGCTCCAGGAGTTTCTTCGGATTCAAACCTGAGCAGGGTACCTCTGTCGAGAGAGTCTCCTTCTACAGGACAACTCTCTCCAGCCAAGAAACGATATCTTCCTACCTCCAGTTCTTCCCACCAAAATGAAGAGCAGGACTGAGGAATCTATGCAGTCCTTGACTGAAGCTGTAGGACTTTAGGGATGGAAAGAGAGAGAAAATCTTAAGAAATTATCTCCTTAAGTCCCCAAGATGGCATTTTGAAAATGAGAAGCCTACCAAATAACTCCTTGCCACTTGAAAAACAAGCCTGCAGCCATGTTAGCTACATCTCCCTCTGAGAAAGATGTACATTTACTCTTTGGCATTTTTCCCCCCCAGGAATGAAAGCCAATTTTGGCCGAGTGGCTTGGCTCACTGTACGAGGAAGCCATGGCAGACTCCAAGGACCCTGCTGCATCATCTTGACCTGTTTCTTCCTCCCTCCCTTCAGATACTTGCCTGAGATCATGAATGACGGGCTGACCAACCAGATCAACAACCCCGAGGTGGACGTGGACATCACCCGGCCCGACACTTTCATCAGACAGCAGATCATGGCTCTCCGCGTGATGACCAACAAATTGAAGAACGCATACAACGGCAATGACGTCAACTTCCAGGACACGAGTAAGGACACGTTTACCCGTGACTTCCAGAGTGAAAAAGTAGTTATGCCTGATCACACCGTAATTTGCCTTCAAGAGTGACATGTGTATTTAATTAGGTCTCCTTCGTCCCTAATTTGTGAAGCTTTCTATAGTCTAAGGCCCAAAACTTAATGATATTATATAAATCACAGCCAGTCTTAACAGTTTCAGTGGACTGCATTTAACCATACCAGAGTGAAAACTGATCCAACTGATCAATCTACCAATTGATTCACTAATGATAAAGTGAAAAAGTAATATTTTCACTTTCTCCTCTCCACATCATCAGTTTTTCATGTCTCTCCCAAACTTGTGATGCTTTCCCCCCATTTCTAAAATGACCCCCCATTGTCTCCTGTGTTTAGTGCTGAGGCTTTCAGAAGGTGATTGGCTCACAGGGACTCTATTCTCATTCGTGGAGTAATCCATTGAAGGGATCATAATTTGACAGTATTATTGGAAGGTGATGGGACTTAGGAAGTGGAGCCTATTTAAAGGGAGTAGGACCTGGAGGTGTGACCTTGGAGACCGTATCTGGACCCTGCTCCTTCCACTCTGCCTCTTTCCCCTTTTGTCTGCTTCTTGGCTGCCATGAGGAGAGCAGCCTTCCTCCACCGTGCCCTTCTGCCGTGATATTTCTGTGTTGGTGATGCTGATTGATCGGGGACTGAAATCTAGGGAAACATGAGCCAAAGTAACTCTTTCCTCCTTTGTTTTTCTCAGGTGTTTAGTCTTAGCAAAGAAAAACTATTAAAATCACCAAAAGAATTGTCTGCCTATTGCTTAGACAAGCGGAGCTAAACTCCCAGTCTTATTTTATAAACTGGCATCTTGAGTAAATTACAGACAATCCTTAACATATGATGGTTCTACTTACAATTCTTTGACTTTACCATTGCACAGAAGCCATACACACACAGTAATATCCATTCACATTTTGAATTTGGAGATTTTCCCAGATTAATGATATACAACACAATGTTCTCTCACCATGTTATGTGGAGGCACAGCATGTAGCTCCCAGCCAGTCAGATTAGGAGGGAAAACCACTGATGCTCTATGATGGCCTGTGTTGCTGTTATGGCTTGTGTCTAGTTATCCCCCCAGAACCTCATGCAGTCAAAAGTGGGGCTTTTCAGAGAGGGCTGGACCTAGGGTGTGTGCTGCTGGAATCAAGAATGTGACACTGGAATTGATTCATGGTACAGTGCTAGAATCAAGGCTGCTCCACCCTGAGTGTGAGTGCTACCCGCTCTAAGGTGGGCAGCCTGAATAAGATAGAAGGACAGAAAGCTTGTCTCTTGCTGTTTGCTGTTTGCTACTGCTTTCTGCCTTCTGCCTCCCCTGCTTTACCATGAACCGTTTCTCCTCTGTGACACCCTTCCACCATGTCACCCTGCCTGGGAGCCAGCCAACTGTGAACTGAAACCTCTACAAATTGTAAGATGAAATAAACCTTTCTTCCTTTAACTTGTTATTGGGTATTTTGTCTTAGCAATAAGAAAAATAACTAAAACAGTTGCTAAACTAGAATGCTGGGTAGTTTAGATATATTCAGTGAATTTTCAACTTAAGATATTTTCATCTTACAGTGAGTTTATCAAGAGGTGACTTCATTATAAGTTGAGACATATCCATGCTGCTTCAGTCTCAGAAACTCTATTTGGGTTTTGTTTAAGTGATTTTTCTTTTCTATCTTGTGTGTGTGTGTGTGTGTGTGTGTGTGTGTGTGCACGCGTGTGTGTGTGTCTTGGCTTTCTCTTAACTGTGCACTTTTACAAAGAGAATTCTGGAAAACAAATTCTTGAACATAAGATGTAAAGTTGCCAGTGATTCTGTAATTTGGTCACTGAAGCAAAAGATGATGTCTGTGTGCTTGAATTAATGAGATAGAAAGAAACAACCTACAGATGGAAGACATTAAGTCATTTAAGTCTTTACTGAACTTGTCCCCTGTAGAAACTTTTTAGTGTTCTATGCTATTCTGAAGAACTCGAAAATTAATTTTCTAAATACAGAGTAATTAGCAACCTGACAGACTTCATGGCTTTAAAATTTCTCAGTCATTTGTCTCTCTTCCTCTTAGATAAACCTCTCCTTTCTTCCCAAGAAGAGAATGTTTCACCAGATTTTAGGCGTTTTTGTCTCCAACTTTGAGTTATTCAGCTTTCCCTTTGCTGGACAAAATGCCCAACACCTACAATTTAAAGGAAAGGTTCACTTTGGCTCAGATTCGGTCCATGGTCAACTAGTTCCAAGACAGAAACATCATGGTGGAGGAGTGTGGTGGAATAAACCTGCTTGGTTCATGGCAGCTGGGAAGCAGAGCTGAGGAACAATGTCAGAGACTAAGAGGCCAGGGTCTAGATAGAGGACCCAAGATCACACCTCCATGACCCATCCAGACACACCCAGAAGTGTGCTCTGCCAGTCCCCTGGGCTGCTCCCAAGTCAATCAAGTTGATACACTCAAGCTTCACCATCATCATTACTTAGCCCCATTTTATCATTTTATTTGTTCTGTCTTCTCGTGTAATAAAATGCTTTCTTACCTAGAGAATAACTATTGGAATGAATAAGTCAAGATAATAAGAATTAGTTGATGTTAACCCTATTGCTTCTTTCTCCTCTCTGACCTAACCAGGTTACATGCAAATCAGTCTGTAACGTTCAGGGTATGTCTAGGAGGTAGATATCTTGCTCCATTTGCCCTAAAAGGAAAATGAAAACCAACAATAGTTGAGAGCATCCCTTGGCTCTAACTCAAGCACCATATTTGGCCCTATCTTTTAAGATAATACTACCTGTCATATAAACCAATATCGCATCTTATAGCCATCTTCACCCTTTCTGCTTGTGACATTTTTTTAGGTTGCCCATCCCATCCCCTAATATCTGCATTTGTGACTGCTTTTCACAAAGAGTTGGCACCATTATTCTACCTAGTCAGAATCTCACATTATTATTCGCTTCCCACATTTTTAATATTCTAAGTCACTTTAATAATATCTTTGTAAAGGTTATATTACTTCTTCTTCACGATACTTGCATTCAGAACAATTCCCTTAGCGGTTCTTATGTCTCCGAATTTAATTAACGGGTATTTCTCCCCTTGTAAAGGCCACTAAAGATAAAGCAGAGAAAATGTTAAGAGCCTAGTATTGCATATTCAAATAATCTTATCTGATATTTAGATATGCTCTCTGAAAAAACATATGGATGAATTGTATATTTCTCCTTCAAGGAAATGTTAGAAAAGACCTCACCCTACTGTGGCTTTACTTAAATATCCTTAGTATCCAAGAAGTGCCACTCTCTTGGGGCAGTTCAGGGTGCCTTAGCCTGTAGGGTAGCAGGAGGAATTTGGGGATACTGATTGGAGTCATGGAGTACATGGCGAGAAAGGCAACTGTTATTGCAAAGTTTACAATTTTCTGAGTTCCTTTCAGAAACATTTTCTCATTTATTGGCCATAACAATTCTATGAAATACATTTTATTAATTTTACTTACACAAGTGAGGAAACAGCCTCAGTGAAACTAATGTATTTTTCCTAGTGCATTTCAATTAATAGTGGCAACTTAAATTTTAGGTCCTTTTGCTGTAGGCACCCTATGTTTTCCACCAGGCATGATGGACAGCAGCGGAGTTGATACCTTCAGGCATTGCATTAAGTATTCTTCATACATACTCTGCAAAGCATATCCCTCACCCATGTTGGTTTAGACAGGCTACAGAAGCTGAGTCAACTGCTTAAGGCACATTTGTTTATTTAATAAGTATTTATTGAACAAATGCTGTATGCCGGGGCCTGTGAATGATCATAGAAATTCAGGAGACGTAAACAGTAGACATAAAAATTCTACCCTCAACATATTTACATTCCCATGGAGGAGATGAACAGTAAACAATAATAAATAACACAATCCCAGGTAGTGACAAGTACTTTCACGTAGTGGGAGGGTTGGTACCAGGACCCCCCACAAATACCAGTGTTCACAAATGCTCTAATTCCTTATACGCAATGGCTTAATATTTGATATAACTTATGCATATCCTCCCATATATTTTAAATCATCTCTAGATTACTTATAACCTTAATAAAATGTAAGTGTTATATAAATGGCTCTTATCCTATATTGCTTAGGGAATAATTAATGGCAAGAAAAGATGTCTGTGCGTGTTCAGTACAGAGACAGCCATCATAGAAATATTTAACTACATGGCACACAGATTTAGAGCCCACAGACGCAGAGTCTACCAATGCAGAGTGTTGCCGTAATGGATGAAGGTTGATCTGGAGCTGAATCTGAGTGATACTTTATCAAACAAGAAGGAACTTAGCACAGAAGTGTGGGGAAAGAGTAGACCAAGGGACATGTTGGGAAGAAGAGAAGATACCACCTGAAGAGGACATCCAGGGTGGGCCCCTGGGCATTGGTGTCAAGTAGGGAAGGGACATCTTCTTTTGTAAAGGGCCAGATATTAAACATGTCATATTCTCTGTCACTCTGTTCTTACAACATGGGTGTGGCTGGTCATAAGGGGAATGTGAGCAGGTATGGTTGAGTTCTGGTCAGATTTTATAAATAGACCCTGAAGCCTGAATTTCCCGAAGTAACTTCTCACTGTCACAAAATATTGTTCTTCATTTGTTTTTCTCTCAAACATTTAAAATATAAGAACTGATCTTAGGTTCTGGGCCAAAACTAAGCAACAGGCTGGAGCTTGTCAACCCCTGGATTAGAGTGAGATGCTGGTTGGCAGAGTCCATCTTTGCTCTCCAGAAGGGAATACTGAAGGGGAAAAGTCAAAAATAATAATCACATAGTACATAGGCATATAGTATAGTAGTATTAGGAATGTCTACCTGCCATAATGCTTTGCTATTTTTCTCTAGTTTCCTGCTTGCAGTGCTTATTTCCCTCATCTGTGTTTGCCTTTAAAGTATCCTTTAAAAAATCCTTTTAAAAACATGCCATCTGCTAAGAATGACAACTCTGAAGTATAAAAAGAGAAAATGTAATTTCTTAATGCAATTTAAATATTTGCTAGAAGAAAAATATCGTCCTGTTGCCATCATGGTAGGCAATAACTCTAGATCTCCAGTAGCACTGCGTTTCAACCATACAGGTCCACCTTCTGGTCACAAAGCCGCCCATGGGGTGAAACCCACTGGGACATGTTGGGAGACATGTTGGGGGCTTTCGCCCACGTGCTCAGCTCCATCCTGTTCTTTGCCTCTGTTTCCTCCTGGTGCGTGGTCTAATTCTTTTTCAATCTTTGCACGCCAGGTGATGAATCCAGCGGCTCAGGAAGTGGCAGTGGATGCATGGATGACGTGTGTCCAACGGAATTCGAGTTTGTCACCACCGAGGCCCCTGCAGCCGACCCTGATAGGAGAGAAGAAGACTCTTCTGCATCTCAGCTCGGCCACTCGCTGCTCTCCTGGTCTCTGGTCTGTGTGGTCTTGGCACTGCAGAGACTGTGCAGATAATCCTGGGCTTTGGTCAGAGGAAACTGCCTTTTAGCTGTTTGAGTGGCCAACTCCCTTCTTTTCTTACACTCTTGGACAATGGACCACGCCACAAAAACTTACCGTTTTCTATGAGAAGAGAGCAGTACTGCGATCTGCCTCCCTTTTTGTTTTCCCAAAGAGTACCGGGTGCCAGATGAATGGCTTCCTCTTTCCTTCAGCTATCTGTGGGGACCTTGTTTATTCCAGAGAGAATTCTTACACAAATCTTTCGTACTAGGAGATTTTCTTACCTTCATTTGCTTTTATGCTGCAGAAGTAAAGGAATCTCACATTGTCAGGTTTTTACCCCCTATAAAAAAAAAAGTTAGGAAGAAAATAATTTTCCTTTTAAAATCAGGCCAAATCCCAAGACAACTGAATTTTCAACAAAGCAGCAAGGAGAGAAAAATAAAAGAACTCTAGTGCTATAGGTTCTACATTGACAGCCAACTCCCAGGGTAAGCTTTTCTGTGACAAATCAGGTTTATAAAATGCTTCTGGGAAGAAAGCTTGAAAAATTTTTTAAATGTAGTGAAAATACACTGTTGTCTTGGAAGTATCGTCTTGTACTCTAACCACCCAATGCCAAATTGATTTGGAGGTACTGATCCTAAATTTAGAATTCCATCTTTAATATGAGAGTGAAACTAACTATAACTCAGCACCTCTTTCTCACCCTGCCCAATTTCAACTTCAGTAATGACTCCACTTTCCTTAAGCCCCTAATATGTGTCCATTGTATCCAATTGGCACAGATTTTTCCTTCTCCTTCAGTTACTAATGTTCACCCCCATCAATTCATCCTCCTCCTAGGTCTTGATTGAAAATCGTCTTCAATGATACCATCTCTGCTTTTGCCACAGGTTTGACATGAATCAGATGTTTCTGCCCCTGTGTTCATTACCCTCCCCAAAATAGGAGTTCTTTTCACTAAAATGATAAACAATTAGATTCATAGGTGAATTTTCATTTTTAACTATTTGCTTTGTGTCAATTGGTTTCTCCATCACAAGGGCATTCTCTTACAAAATAACCCACAACAACAAAAAAGGTCAAGACAAAAAAAAACTATATATAGTATTGACATGGAGATTTCTTTCACTTTTTTAGTCTTAGTATGATCATCTATTTTTATATCTATATATATATAAATCACAGATTTTAACTTCTTAATTCCAAGCTCAGGGTTGACACACCTTTGTAACAAAAATGTTTTGTCAACCAGCTCTTCTTGTTTTATGCTGCTCAGAGAAGGGATTCCTCGATGGCCTGTGAGCACCAAGAATCAAGAAAGAGAAATTTTTAAGTATCTAACTGTCCATCTCTTACAAGTTTGCGAGGGCACATCCTTTTCACACGAGCGTGCTGTGTACCAGGTGCTCTACCTGGGCTGAGCTCATGGGGCCAGCCGAGGGTGTGCAGGATTTTACTGATGATGGAAATTGTTTTGTGTAAAGAATGTTGTTCACGAAACACCATTGCTTTCGTGTCCAACACCTCTCGCCCAGGATTCTTGCTTGGCACTTGGATAAACGACCTCAACTCAAGAGGCCAAAAGGGCCACAGCCTAACCTATCCACCAAGCATGCCAAAGCCAGACCCAGTGCTCCCCCTGGCAGAGAGAAGCTAAATAAACCAAACCAGGGCTTCACGAATGCAGTTGGTTATCCATGTGATCCTTGGTTTTTATGATGCATCTGAAGTAGGGAAAAGTGATGTGTCAGGACACCATACTATGCCAGTCACATTGTAACTAACTCATTGACAGTATTGACACGTAAATGGTATTTTTTGATCTCTGTTCTCATCAAAATTAAAATTAGTTATTGATTTAGTTGTCACATTTAAGTAGAACACACGCGGCACAGTAGTAGTAAGTATATTCGAGCACTTTTGCAAAAACAGAAAGTATATACAAGCGTCTGTCGCCACTTTATGCCTAAAGAAATATAAAGTGTAGAATTCTGAGAGACTTTGTGGCATCTTTCAGTTGAATCTTTGTGAAATTAACACTTGAGCTAATTCAGCACTACGTGCTTCTACAAAACCATCCATTTCCCTGCTGCCCGATGGCTTCCTGTCACCAGTGACATACACCACATCTCTACAAAGGACCCGTCATGTATGTTGCTCATTTCACTGTATGTTCAAAAAATCGGTATTGTTTTTCTCCAATAATTCAGGTGCAATACAAATTAAGTCAACCTTGATTTTCTTTTTCAGAATTTCTTGTTCATATGGCTTTAAATTCCAAGTTTTGCTTTTTAAAATATTTCTGCACTATCTTCTATGAAATAGATCAGGATGTCTTGTTTTTCCTGTGCTTTCATCCCCCAAAGGGTTTTGTGCATGTGTATGAATACACATTATATTAATGAATGTGAACTCATGTTCTGTACGCACTACACACACAGATAATATATAAACGCCTGCTTCACTTGTTTCCACACCTTCATTATCAGTAATATTCCTATTGATGAGATATAGTGATGCATATGTGCTGGGCAGAGAGCTGAAATAACTATCAGTTAATGATGCCACAATGTTAGTCACCCTGCATGGATGTGGTCAAAATATTATTCAATTGCACTTCTTGGTTTTTATCATCATCCTAGTAGGACATCTGACTTTCAGACTAATTTAACATGAGAATCTTTTTTTTTCTGTCCTTAAAGGATTTAGTTTAATCTAGTTACCCCTTTTCAGTAAGTGTTTTTGGAATCCCTCTCCCAAATTAATTTTTTTCATTTCAGCATGGTGATAGGGGATACGATGATGCTCCATTATCTATCAGGACCTGCCCTCGTTGGTTCTGAGGGCCCCTAAATTCTGTAACCACATCATAACTTCTGTTATGAGTAGAGAGGAATGGGCTCACTGAAATCAGACACTAGAAATGGGTGGGTTGATGCTCATAACTGCAAACACTTAGCTTATTGAAGTGCCTCTATTTACATGTTCTTTAGTTATAATATGTATTTTTCTAACAGAAATACACGTCTGTAATTGATGTATATTATACTTTGTATATGTTACAACAAAAGACTAGCAGAGGCTAAAGTCTTTAGCAGAGAAGAATGAATTGCAAATTCACAAATAACTCTGGTTCTGTATTGAAGGATAGCTTGACAACCTTCTGTCATTTAATGAAGGTGATGTTGGCACTTTGATTACAGCCATTACAAAATGTTAGCACTAGAAGTCTGACTCCCTTACAGTGATTGACCCAGAGAGCATAAGTAACTAGTATCACCTGCTTCAAATGTAAGGGATGGAAAATAATATTTTGCGTAAACTGAAAGACACTATTATTCGTGGGCAAGCAGTCATAATTTAAAAGCTAATACTCTTTAAATCAAACACATTGAAAATATTATTGGGTGCAAAACCCTGACTTTTAATTTATATTCCCTGCTGCAGACATTAGCCTACTTTAATTCTTTTGCCATTACATACATATTTTGGCTACAGACTGAACACCAACTAACGTCCCATAGGAGGAATGAAACTTAGCAAATTCCTGAATTGTGATTCTTTTATGATTTCTCTTTGCAAGGCTAACGATCAGGTAGGTGGTTCAAATAAAGGTAGAATGTTAGCAAATGCAAATTTTGACTTTACCCAAAACTTGCTGAAATTCAAACTCATCTTCACTGATTATAGTCACCAACAGATCTGACTTTCAATTTAAAAAAAAAAAAGCAGTTTAGCTTTACCAAAGGAAGAGTAAAGGAGACCATAATGTACGCATTTGCAATGTGTTCCTCCTTGGGGGTAGACATTAGCCAGTGTTTAGTTGGAGGCCAACTTATACCAATAGACTATTGATTTGTACGCATTCTGGAGACTTGCTCTATCATGGTTTGCTAAGGCAGACTCAGCTTACTTTGCAGGGGAACATTTGGAACTTCATTCAAAGTTGGGTAGTTACTGGACTCACTGACTTGGCCTTGTAATGAGGCATTTCCATGAGAAACACCAGAGGATGGCATCATAGTGAGGTCTCTGCGTGCATATACACAATATATGTGCAGGATGAATGTGTGCACCGATGAAACCTAAAATTTTATGTGACTGTCAAATGCCTATTATTTGGGTTAAGATTTTTCATTTCTGATTTGGATAGAAAATTGCTATTAATCTTGTATTAAAATAGTTTTTAAAAATCTACCAATGCCTTTTCTTCATTTTCTTAATCAGTGCCACAGTCTAAATTTTAAATTTCAGAGCTTTTGATTTGTTTGTTTGTTTGTTTGAGACCCTTTTAGGTGACTTAATATTAAAAACAAAAACAAATGCTTTGGATTAAATCACTGCCATTCACCAAAGTGCATACATATTTGAGATTATGAGTGTTTAGAACTTTAGAATGTCCAGTTTCCCAGATATATGTGGAACACACTCAATGTCTCTTCTTTTGAAGTGGTTTGCTCTTGAAGAAAAATTCAGTAACTTAGATGCCAATGCTTTATAAGTGAGGTCAGGAAAACAAGATTATATCTGGAAGGCCTAGAATTTCCAAATTTAAGAAATTGCACTGACTTACATTTCTGAAATGTTTCATGCTTTCAGGCATGCTAAAGATTCATTGGTCAAACACATTGAATTTCTCCTCCTTGCTAATATTCATGTGAGTGTCCTATCACATTGGTTGCCAGAAAACACTAGTTAAAAATTATTTATTTCTTAATTCCCCTAACCATGATTATTACAAATACATCACTTATTTTAAGACGGCTCTTTTAAATAAATGAACTCAAATAAATAAAGGTATCAAGAATGCATCATACAGCTATGAGGAATACTGAAATTTAAATCACATTAAAGTCATCTTGGTTTTAATTGTGAAAAGTGGTTCCTACAAGACAATTAAGGAACTTTAGGATAATTACACCTATAAAATTGGAATATAACCAATTTTTTTAAGTAAACTGAAACCAATTTATTGTAAAAGACAAACATCCCAAAGGTTTTGCAAAAATAAAACCATAGACCCTTTGCACGAATAGCAGGGATAATAGTTAAAATATATGCACAAATAACCATCCAATAAAACAGTGACAAGTCGCAGTGTTCTGTGTCCAGAGAGCTAGAAAGAGGTAGCCAGCAGCACATTTAAGTCTAAGAAGACACTCACAATCGATGTGGTACAGATAGACACATTTCCATTCCACAGACGTGTCTGCCAGTATAAACATGTGGCTGAATGTATTTTGTCCCCTCATAAATGAGATTCAGTGAAGCCAGGAGGCATTAGATGTTGAAGCCAGGCTTTGTATCTGCACAGAGAACTCATGTTCTTGTACATCTTGAAGCAGAAAAGCAGAGTGAGAAAGGGGGAAGGGCCCGGGGATGTGGCTCAGTGGCACCGCGCCTGCTGGCAAGTGCAAGATCCTGAGTTTGGTCCCCAGTACGGCAGAAAAAGAAAGAAAGAAAGGGTGAATTTTACCCTAACGGTGTTCAAGTCAGGAGACAAACAGAAAAAAAAAGACTTTCAAACCACTCGAGAGCTCAGATAAATATTTACCTGGAATAAAGGCATCCCGTGAATAAGAACAAGCACCCATGGATTTTTTAAATTAAAAAAATATATATATTTAAACAATTAACTGAAGATACGTCACGAGCCATTACCGCATGCCACACATGATTCTGTGTGACTGGAAAACACGCCAAGATTTCACACCCAAACAATTTACGTGGAGGGCAGGCAATGTATAAACACAAAGACTTCACGAAGTGGAAGATGTCGTAAAAGAAGTACAACAGGAAGTGGAATAGTGACTAAGGAGGAAACTCTCTTTACATCACAACATTTGAGCTCCTAACAGTGGGAAAGGGACCAGCCTTGGGTGGAACTGGGGAAAGAGATTTCTAGGCAGAGAAATGGCAAATGCCAAGATCTCAGTCCAGGAACGATCCACTGTACTTCTGTGTGCCTGGAGACCAGCAAGAAAGTCTGGCCATGGTGAGAGAGCAGGGAAGAACTAAGCGGGCCACTGTGGTAAGTTTAATGGCTCACCCCGCACACAGCCCTACACGTAAGCCCTGCTGACAGCACCTACTAACATTTGAAAGCATATCTG